CCTGCCATTACACACCACCTATTGTTAGGCACTAGCAGTCCCTGTTAACTGCTATTCACCCTTTTAGCCAGATCGTTATCAACTCCTTTGTCTATCCAACTGCACTTCTCTCTCTTCAGGCTCTATCCTTTATCCTATCGTTTACTCCCTACCCATCCCCCTCCCTATTTTCTGCATATAAACCGATGTTTTCCTAGCTACCATCAGTTCTGAGGAAGGGCCACTGGATCCGAAACGTTAACTCTGTTTTTTCCTTCACAGATGCTGCCAAACCTGCTGAGCTTTTCCAGCAACTTCTGTTTTTGTTCCTGATTTACAGCATCCGCATTTCTTTTGGTTTTTAAATTCCCTGCCATATGCGCTGCATTCCATATTTCAATAAAGCAGTTTTGAATGCTGCACCCTGACAGATTTTGACTGGCAAATTAAAACAGTTCAACTCCAGCTGAAAAAGACTTCTGTACGTGTGTACTGCAGGCAACACACTTGTTCTCAAGCTGTCCGGTTGTAACCAGATACTGTTATGTTTCTTATTCCAGCTTCTACAATTTTTGAACCTACATGACAGGTTTTTACTCTGCACTGTTCACATAGCTGAAACTTGGAACCACTATTGATCATTTTGAACCAGGACTAAGATGTCAAGGAGTTTAGCCACACATTACCCCACTTTTCCTGGCAGGAGGCTTCCGTGATGGGGAATATTAAACAGCATGGAACTGGGAAAGAAAGGAGGTTAAAGCAACTGGGGAAAACTAATGAGGGCAACTAGGAAGCAATCTGGCTGAGAAGTCAGAAATAACAAGCGTTTTTTTGTCATTTATGGTCGATGTGGATGGATAGAAGGGTGTTTCGAGTGAACAGTTTTGATCTATTCATAATGCTGGGTGTCTGACCTTCCTCATACAGTGGCCCTTTAACAGACCATCTAGCCAGTGGATGGGTTTCACTAGCTAAACAGATACATGTCCACTGGAGATTTGAAGACGAGGTGCTCCCATTCATTCCCTCTGCTTCTAACATTTGTCTTCAACCCCTGTCAAGTGCAGGATTTCACAGCTGTTGTGTATTTGGTAAGTATGGTGGACTGTCACTTTAAGAGTGTGATCACATCACAACATGAGGCAGTAAACCACATATCAAAGAATTACATGAACATGAAAGACTGAAGGCGAGGTGAATGTGAAAATGGAACAACCAGCACAAAAGTTTGTACGGAGGAAAGATATTAGCCAGAAAAGCAACAAGAAAATTAAACAGCTGCATGAGGTATGAATGCATTATCTACTGACTGTTGTATATATGATTGTAGATGTTTTCATTGTAGGAATCTCTAATATAAAGAGGGAGGGATGTCATGTATTTGTTAGACTATCACTTTAAGAGTCCAATTACGTGACACCATGATGACATCATTGACCATTTTGGAGGAAAACATTTAATTTAAACTCGCCTGTAGAGTGAACCCCTCTATATTAAAGCTCCTGCTGTTGCTTAACACTTTGGCCTCCTATCCTTGAAATGTAGCAACAGCCTCTTTCATTGAAGTCCAGCTTTGTCACGTGCAGAGCCAAAGAAAACCTTTGCAGAATGGGGGAGATGATATAGCATTGTCACTAAAGACAAATTGGACAATTTGTAAGTTAAAGAGGAAACTACAACAACATTCAGATTGAGAGAGCTGACAACAACAAACCCTTCTGGAAGAGATACAGAAAATGCTGTAAATGCTCAGCACTTGGTAGATTTCCTGGTCCACAATCAGCCTTAATGAGCAAGGTTTGGTCTGCAGTTTTCCCTTTAGGAATTGAGTTTGTCCATTTTGCATATTGAGCAGGTGCATCTCCCTAATAATGCTATAAGTTGAACTGCAGCCTTAAATTCTTATGAGGTCATCTTGTTCCAGTCATAGATTCAAAGTCTTAAACAATGGGAAATGAAGAACTTGAATTCCTAAGAGTCTATTTCCGAATGTTTGTGGTTTAGATGGAAGGTACACTGCTGGAACCTGCAGTTTCTAGTTAGGAGAGGAAGAGTGTACATTTGCTTCTATAGAGACCTGAGTGAACTCCAGAGCTCATTTGTCTAGGTTTCCTTTGCAGAGAATAGATTTACATGGCTCAGCTAAAGCTGTCTACTTATAAAATCTCCCTGAGCTGGCCTTTGCGTTAGTCTGGATGTGTTAATGACTACTCTTGCTGTCTACTATTCAATGCCTTGCCTACCTTATTACTGCCAAGTAATATGTATATGTTACTGTCAAATTGAGAGAAAGACTACACATTCTCTCAAAGCCCAGACCACACATAGGAGAATGAAACAAGAAGCCCAGGTACTAGTTGGCATCTACGTGTTCCCAAAATAGATGAGATCATCTGGTCTCAGTGTCACATTACAGAGCATTTTGTCTGGTGCTTTGTGTCTCAATACACACCAGTCTATATTGCCTCAAAGGTAGGTGAGGACCTGGAAACAATCATAATTATGGAAGAGGTAGTGTTGGGCAAGCTAATGGAGCTAAGGATTGATAAGTCTCCTGGCCCTGATGGAATGCATCCCAGGGTACTAAAAGAGATGGCGGGAGAAATAGCAGGTGCACTGGTGGTAATTTTCCAAAATTCGCTGGACTCTGGGGCAGTCCCAGCAGATTGGAAAACAGCAAATGTGACGCCACTGTTTAAAAAGGGAAGTAGACAAAAGATGGGGAATTATAGACCAGTTAGCTTAACCTCTGTAGTGGGGAAGATGCTTGAGTCTATTATCAAGGAAGAAATAGCAAGGCATCTTGATAGAAATTGTCCCGTTGGGCAGACGCAGCATGGGTTCATGGAGGGCAGGTCATGCTTGACAAATCTTTTGGAATTCTATGAAGACATTACGAGCGAGGTGGACAATGGGGACCCAGTGGATGTGGTGTACCTAGACTTCCAAAAGGCCTTTGACAAGGTGCCGCACAAGAGGCTACTGCATAAGATAAGGATGCATGGCATTAAGGGTAAAGTATTAGCATGGATAGAGGATTGGTTGACTAACAGGAAGCAAAGAGTGGGGATAAATGAGTGCTATTCTAGCTGGCAGTCAGTGACTAGTGGTGTGCCTCAGGGATCGGTGTTGGGACCGCAATTATTTACAATTTATATAGATGATTTGGAGTTGGGGACCACATGTAGGGTGTCAAAGTTTGCAGATGACACTAAGATGAGTGGCAAAGCAAAGTGTGCAGAGGACTATGAAACTTTGCAGAGGAACATAGATACATTGAGTGAGTGGGCAAAGGTTTGGCAGATGGAATACAATGTAAATAAATGTGAAGTCATACATTTTGGTAGGAGTAATAGTAAAAAGGATTATTGCTTGAATGGTAAAAAGTTGCAGCATGCTGCTATGCAGAGGGACCTGGGTGTCCTTGTGCATGAATCACAGAAGGTAGGTCTGCAGGTACAACAAGTAATTAGGAAGGCAAATGGAATTTTGTCCTTCATTGCTAAAGGGATTGAAAGAAAAAGCAGAGAGGTTACATTGCAGCTGTACAAGGTGCTGGTGAGGCCACACCTGGAGTACTGTGTGCAGTTTTGGTCTCCTTACGTGAGAAAGGATGTACTGGCACTGGAGTGGGTGCAAAGGAGGTTCACTAGGTTGATTCCGGAGTTGAGGGGGTTGGCTTATGAGGAGAGACTGAGTAGATTGGGATTATATTCATTGGAATTCAGAAGATTGAGGGGGGATCTTATAGAAACATATAAAATTATGAAGGGAATAGATAAGATAGAAGTAGAGAGGATGTTTCCACTGGCAGGTGAAGCTAGGACAAGAGGGCATAGCCTCAAGATTAGAGGGAGCAGATTTAGGATTGAATTGAGAAGGAATTTCTTCACCCAGAGGGTTGTTAATCTATGGAATTCCTTGCCCAGTGAAGTAGTTGACGCTACTTCAGTAAATGTTTTTTAAAAAAGGGTAGATTTTTTTTGAACAATAAAGGAATTAAGGGATACGGTGAGAACGCGGGTAAGTGGATTTGAGTCCACGAAAGGATCAGCCATGATCTTATTGAATGGCGGAGCAGGCTCGAAGGGCCATATGGCCTACTCCTGCTCCTAGTTCTTATGTTCTTATGTTCTTATCTCAGCATGGTCCAGTCCGTCTGGACTCAACTTCTCTTACAGTTTAAATTTGAGGCAGAGGTGGATAGATTCTTGGTAAACAAGAGGTCAAGTGTCTTAGGTGTGAATATCAACATGAGCTTACAATCAGATCAGTCGTGGTTTTATTGAATGGCAGAGCAAGCTTGAGGAACCTACTCATGTTGCTAATTTGTATCTCTGCACGTGCAGTCTGCCTAGTCTCAGTACAGTTCAGGCTGTCTGGTTTCTGTGTCCTAGTGTAGACCAGTCTGCCTGGCATGGTTTTTCCAGCACACATCTACCTCTTTTTATGGGATAAGGGATTGACAGTCACCATTGAAAGGAATCACTTCTCACTGCTGTCAGTTCAGTGCCCCTCGGCTGTGCGATCAGCTCCTGTTCTGATAGGACTGCATGATCCAATAAACACCTAACAGACTCATAACTGATCCTCCCACATGTAGAAATATTATGGCAGAGATAATCTGAGCTCTTTTATTGCTTGTTAATAAAACATAGTTACCAATATTAAAATCAGGAAGTACAGAAGCAATATCACACAGTATAGGCAGGGATTTGCACATGTGGTATTGTAAGGTTCACTGATGTCTAGTCTCACTAGTGCATAATATCACAGGCTGGATTAACTGTCTCCTTAGTATATAGTAGCATAGAGATGTATAGCACAGATTTTCATTGCATTATGAATTCCACCATTTTCTGTGGTGGGATTCGAACTCGGGTCTCTGGATTAACAGTCTAGTGATTATAGCACTATGCCATTGCCTCCCTCATTTCCTGAGTATCCTACAGCATGGGTAGCTTTAACTGGCCTTGCTTCTCATGATGAAGAAGTATCTGTTGGGTTTTCTCTCCTAGCTCTGCCAAGATGCCCAAGCTGGTGGAGGTGCGAATGGATGAGTGTACCCTGGCTCCTGAGAAACCTGACAGTAAACTCCCACTGTGGAAACGGCTGGGAAAGAATCTGATGAAGAACCTGCTGCTGACTCTCACAGTGTTTGGTGAGTGAACCCTTGAGACTGTTCATCAACGAGTGAGGGCTTTGCATGGGCGGCACTGACATGGGGCTGGTGTGCAGTGAGGCATGTGTTTTTAAAAGATAACAAACTTATTTTTCTGCTCATCTAGTAAATGTTGCAATGAATGAAGTTGTAATATGATGTTTAATCAGATAATCTTAATGAGGCAAAATCCATTCAGTAAAAAGTATAGATATTCCCAAATGAAGAACATCAACCCTGAACCTTGTGGAAATTACTGGTTCTGCAGGTTTACAACTTGTATTGCTGCAAGAAATGTACCACCACTTATCAATATTTTATAGAACATCATTGAACACTCGTTTTACAATGACCATTTACTATTGTTGTATCTATAAACCACCAGCTATTAGCTCCCAGTAGGTCATCCTTCATTGTTTCTGTGTTCTCCCTCACTCCGGTTTGCTGTTTCTCTCGGTCATTCTGCCCATATTTCACCTGGACTCTAAATTTTAGTGACATAGTTTACTTTTCCCTCGTTATTTCCACTTGATACTTTTCGTTGTCCCTCTTTCTTTCTCTGCTAGTTGACAAAGTGACTATAATCTTGATATGTTTGACAGCTATTAAATCCTTAGACTCTTGACTGTGTATTGTATAAATCTTAGATTCATTCTCCGATCCTGACCCCTATCCTGTATAAAACACGCTGTCACTCTCAGACTCTGACCCTTGTCCTCTATAAAACGCACTCTC